ATTAAATAAAGTCTTGTTCAAAATGGAATGTATGTATATCTCTATGCTCTTATTTTTACTAGTGCAGGGATTTATATCAAAAAGTGATTCTACAGACACGAATAAGGACTTAAACGACACGCAACTTTCGGGGCAAGGGTTAATTGATTTGGGAATAAAGCTGGACAAACCTTTGCTGAAATTATTAGGGCAAACTATGCGCCGTGTAGAGAACCGAATGCTGAAAAATCAAGTCGGAGCTGATGATGTGGTAGCAGAAATTTGTCGACTTCATCCCTGCTCTGAATGGAGTGAATGGTCGAATTGTGATGCCATTTATCAAGGTGAATTTGGAGGACAAACAAGAAGAAGAACTTGTGGATTAAATACAACGTATTGTAAGCATAACAGTGAGCCAACTCATGTAATTGACAAAAGATTATGCGAGGGTGTATGTCCAAAAGACTATACTGCAACTAGTCATGGTTTCTGTTTGAAATTTTACGACAAAGAAAAACTATATAGAGATGATGCTGAAAGAGTATGTCGGGGTGATGGTGGACATCTTGTGAACGTTGATTCTGAGCTGAAAGTAAAAGATGTGAATGAAACAATTCTTCAACAAAACTTTTCTGCTTATCGTTTATGGATTGATGGAAGAAAATCAGTACAAGGTGATCCTTGGACTTACGGCTACAAGTCGACAGATCCGTCTTTCACCTTTTGGGGAGATAATGATCCAGATAACGGTCAAAATGACCTGTGTATTATGTATCACTATGAATCAAGTACGAATAACCTCTGGCGATGGTTCGATTATCCATGTGATCAACAGTTTGCCTTTATTTGCCAACACAAACAGATTGACTTATATCTAAATGATTTTGGAAATTCGAACAATATATATAAATTGTTACGGTCGCAAAATATAAACATTTGCCAAATTATATAATTATACTTTAACCGACGCACATGCCTTTACGTTATAAAACACGGCATGAAGAGAAAATGTCTTATTGTTATGCAGCTATATATATGTTGTTATTTTTAGCAGACAATGGAAAATCGATGTCCAGCTTAAAACAAACACACATTAAGGACGTTTTCGGGAGTTTTCATATAGACATATAGGCAAAATTTAAACTGTTTAATAGATTTTTTTTAAACTGTAAACTTAAAGTTGTTAGAATATGATAATAGAAACGTTTTAAGCGAAAGAACTTTGGGTGTCAACGTTCCCACTTCTGAGTTACCTGCTATTGAATCAGAATTGTTTACATTGTACTAATTTGAGGTCATTTCAAGGGCAGATAACTTATACGTGTGTCTATAAAATCTTGTTTTTACTTTTTTTTATTATTGTTGATCACAATTATGCATACTAATAGGTAATTCCATGTCTTATTTCTGTTATTTTTTCAGTAGGAATACAGGGATTTAAAATTCTTTAAAATTAGGCCATTTTAAAGACAAAACGTCACAGGTATAGAAAAGAAGGAAAAATATGAACACTCCCGAAAACGTATTTGAGCATTAGGTTAAAATGTCATTAGGTCAAACTGATTATCGTGTAGAATACTTCACGGACATCAAGCAAAACATGAAGAGCACTGGAGAAATCGTCTTTATCAATCCTGTTGTTATTTACATGGATTTGCTTGTTCAAATGTCGCAGAAGACAAATGTCATGATTTAGGTTCTTTGGCTGTTACATAAGTATGCTAATGTTTTCTTTTTCTTTTTAAGTACTGACTAGACGAATATTTATGTTATTAACAAAGATATTGTATAAGTTAAAATGTATAGGTCATGATTATACAACTTGCACAATTGATGTATTAAAAACCTGCTGCCTTACGATGTAATGAATAATAAAAAGCTTTTTTAAAGTTCTACAATTTATATTTTCTATAATCGATCATATGTCGAGAGAGTGCTTTATAAGAAGAATTTCAAACATGTGTAATGTTTTTATATATGCCTTTAAACTTGTGTCAGAAATAATTATCTAGTAATTTTTAAGTTTTATAAATTCATAACAGGTTATGCACAAACAGTTTGGAAAAAAACAACATATCATTCGAGAACAACATGTAAGATAACCGTGGAAAATAGCATATAAAAAGTTAAAAATTTATGTTGAACACACGAATGCGTAATTTTAAAAAGTATGTCACCGGCTGCGTTTTTATGGCAACTAAGAAATGCATGCATCGCTGCAACATCTCTGTGACATCAAAATGAATGCCGATAGACGGCACTCGTTTAAAGCATGGTTGTAATATACGTATCTCGTCATTGGGCGTTCGGATAAGAATGCATTGGGATTACCTAAAGCCGTAGTTGCCACAAGGGACGCAGTGCGAATGCTGAGGTTATCTACGACCATTACGTTTTGTGAGATGTCACAACGTTTCTATCTTTTCTGTATTACTCTTAGAGCGATTTTAATGACTTTGATATGCATTTTCAAAACATGATGTACAACAGTATCGATGAGTAATGTATAGAGGACATTGAATGAGTTTAAGTTCCATACTGAATTTATTGCACGAGTTGAATAAAATTATATTATGCGAGCCTATGGCGAGCATTACATTATTTATTTAACGAGTGCAATAAATTCAGTAATAAACTTACACAAATTTAATATTTTATTTATCACAAACCAAAACTAAAGACCGTTTAAAATGAAATAAGAGTCATTTTTCATTGACGGGCCTATAGTATAACGCTTACATATAGCGCTCTATGTTTTTATAACGCTAATGACGTCACGTCATATATATGCACGGCCGTGCAATACCATATTTATTATTATAAATGCACCGATAAGAGACGTGCGTGTTATAGAACATGATACGTTTGCATTTTTTTCAGAACTTGAACGAAAACTGTTTTAAACCGAGTGTGTAACATAAACAACTAAAACGACAAAACAGGCTTAGTTTGATTGAGTCTGTCTGTTCAGGGACTGTAGTGGTAATTCCAATATACCATCAACACTCCCTAGCACCGACTTAAGCAGAACCCAACATTAAAAAATGACGAAATTTCGAATTAAGAAACATCCACAGGTGTGTTTATACGACGTTTATGATTGATACATCAATGTGACACATTTTCGATTTCAATTTCCAATAAAACGGGGTAAGTTTGTTCGAAGCACGTGTGAAATAAAACAGAAAAAAAAAAGGCGGTACTAAACATAATGGAATATTGAATAGGGATCAGAGGTTTAATGAATTCCTAGAGATACATTTTTGAATTTGAAAGCACTTTGGTAAAATATCATTTATGCCCTGAAAAATATAATATATTTTTATTAAGTTGTGATGCCTTTAAAATAACATAGTTTCTTAATTATGGATGAATATTTTTTTTAAAGTTTTCCATTCAATTGGTTTATTACATCACATTTTGACAAAAAGTTTGTTATGGGGGGAAAAGTGTTTTATTCTTTTTTTACATATATAATAATCATAGGTTGTGTTACTGAATTTTTGTTATTAGGGACCCCAGTATTTTACTTGTAAGACTATTCAGTTAATAAATATTCGTCATATCTTGTAAAAGATAACACAATTTTCATACTTTAAAACCTTAACTTCCAAGTTATTGGAAGGATACATTAAATTTCGTATTTCCTGTGAACCATGGGCGACAAGTAATATGTAACATTTTCAAAGTAATTGAGTGTTGAATTATTTAAATCTTATAATGTTATAAACCTAGTAATTGTTAAACGCATATGTTGAAGTAAAACTTCATTCAATACATTTTAAAGGCAATCGCGTGAGAAAAGATTTAAAAAATCATTAATTGTATATTAATTGTATTGTATGAAAGATAATTTAAAATACTTTTACTTAGATAAACAAAAGTGAGATATAAGGTTTTTGAAGGCACATTATGCCTAACAAAATCTATCATTTTGAATTGTTTAGAAATGTCAATCATGTATCTAATCATGTTTTAATAACGGATTTAGAGCAAGTAAGGTGTTTTACAACTGAAGAAATTGTAAAATAGTATGGAGACTTTACTATTGAAATCGTATCATAGTTAAATCGTAAACCAATACGTGCACGTTGTCAAGAGAACAGGTATCACTTGCCCGCATTCACTCTCTGTCTAAAGCATGCTCGTTGATTGGCTCATTTTTGTCTGGAGTTTACTAGAATAACGATATTAAAGTCATATTAAGATGCTCGTACATTGGTTTCATTTTTGTGGGAGTTAATAGTGTGACGACAGAGAGCGTGTTTTTAATTTTGCCTATGATACCACGGAGTAAGACCATCAAAACACTTGGCAATCTGATTAAAATCGGGCGCTACGCCCCCTGGTACAAATCAGATAGCTACGTGTTTCGATGCTCTCCATTAGGAAGAGCTAAATGCGTCACAAAAGTAGCAAAATATAAACAAAACAGTCTTTTCACTTCCATACAAAATACTAATTTACTAACTATACCTTTTGCCAACAACGCAAAGAAAGCAGAAGATCATCAATGTGGCAAATAAGTATTTTGTTAACCTGTATAAATATTATAATATTATATTGACAGGAAGTTTATGCTGGATCTTATCAGGAGCACTTAGCACTGACACATTTCTAAACATCATCACTGCAGACTATCAGTTCTCTTCAGATTATTGGAGAGGAAAGGTGTTTACAGTTTCTTCAAAACATTTTAACAATTTTCTTGATAGATAAATTCTTGTTCAAAATGGAATTTATGTATACCTCTTTGCTCTTATTTTTACTAGTGCAGGGATTTATATCAAAAAGTGATTCTACAGACACGGATGAGGACTTAAACGAATCGCAACTTACGGGGCAAGGGTTAATTGATTTGGAAAATAAAGCTTGACAAACCTTTCTTGAAATTAATAGGGCAAACAATGCGCCGTGTTTAGAGAACCGAATGGAGAAAATCAAGTCGGAACTGATGATGTGGCAGCAGAAATGTGTCGACTTCATCCCTGCTCTGAAATGGAGTGAATGGTCGAATTGTGATGTCATTCATCAAAGGTGAGTTTGGAGGACAAACAAGAAATAGAACTTGTGGCTTAAATACAACGTATTGTAAGCATTACCGTGAGCCAACTAATGTGATTGACAAAATATTATGCGAGGGTGTGTGTCCAAAAGACTATACTGCAACAAGTCATGGTTTCTGTTTGAAATTTTACGACAAAGAAAGACTAGCCAGAGACGATGCTGAACAAATCTGTCAACGTGATGGAGGACATCTTGTTAACGTTGATTCTGAGATGAAAGTAAAAGATGTGAATGAAACAATTCTTGATAAAAACTTTTCTTCTTCTAATATATGGATTGATGGAAGAAAATCAGTACAAGGTGATCCTTGGACTTACGGCTACAAGTCATCAGATCCGTCCTTCACCTTTTGGGGAGATAATGATCCAGATAACGGTTCAAGTGATTTGTGCATTAACTATTACTATGCGTCAAATACGAATAACCTTTGGCGATGGTTCGATAATTCATGTTCTGGAAACTTTGCTTTTGTTTGCCAAATACAGTGAAAACCGGACGCTGAGAAAATAGGAGCTCTCTAAACACCGGACGAATAATTCAGTCCCAAATTTTCCCTTCTTTAAAGTATTGTATTAAACATTTACAATACCGGAATCTGTAAAAACCGAATATCGGATGATTGAAATGGGACTACAAAGTCAATTATATAGACAATTACCCTGACAATACCGGACGGCGAAGGTTTGAATAACCTTGTATACTTATCAATTGGTTGTGGTACGCTAACTGAGCGGTAACGGAACAATGATTGTCTTATTTGTTAATAATGTCTCTTTTCACAGTTTGATTTATTGTAAGTTATGAATGTACCGTTTTATATAAATACCAAAATGCACGAGGAATTGATAAGTTAAAATCAGTATGAATGAAAAATAGAGTATTATTTTACTGCGTTGCTTTTTGTGTATTAATTTTTCCAAAATGACAACGCTACGGAAACGACATTTATCAGCGCTAAGTTCTATTTCATGGGCTAAAAGAATTTGACGAGAGCTGTCTATAAGTGACAAATTTAAATTAATAAAAGACATTTAAACTTTGCCGAGACCTTCTTTAAAAAATCCTTATCTGACAATTATGGTATAGTTGGGGCATTATTATTTATAAACATTCAAAGTAAACTATGTTCGTTTAATCATTATCCATTACCCAAATGTAAACATATGCGGGTGTAATTGGACTTTATCGTTATGAGGTAACTGCTGTTCGTTTAAATCCAAAATTTCATTGTATTTATATGCAATAATGGGACAAAAACAATAAAAACATATTGTATAGTATTTTTATCATTTCTTTATTTAGCAATATACTTACTCATGATCTTGAAAATGCAAATTTACGCACAGCATCCTTTGTAAGTCATTGCTCGGTTTGAATTCCTAATCGGTTACAGGTTGATTGTCATTTAATGATTGACCTGTCCGTGCTCTGTCTTTGCCCTGTCCTGTTTTTGTTTGGGGTCCCCCTGGGCTCCTTGCCATTGGTTCTTGTTGCTGGGTCATGTGGGGGTTGCGTTCATTGAACGCCGCCTTTCCTTGTTGATCTTGTTTATCATATTTTATAGGGGAAGGGGACATTGTGAATACCGGACCGCTGAGAAAACCGGACAAAATCCTCTGTTTTCTCAACTTTCACTGTACAAATAGAGTAGCTTATATCTTGTGATATTTGGTAAATGTGAACAATATACATGTATTTATAATTGTCATTGTCGCAAAAATATAAACATTGCCATATCACAATATTATACTATTATGAAGACGTTCTGACTGACAAAAACACTTGTATATACGTTAACATACGGCACGAAGAGAAAATGTCTTATTGGCAATGAAGTTTCTTAGAAGCCACATATATGTTATTATTTTAGCAGACAATGGTAAATCGATGTGCAGCTAAATACAAACACACCTAAAGGACGTTTTCATATATGCATACACGCAAAATTAAAACTGTTTCATAGATAGCTTTTACACTTGGCAAGTTGTAAAAATATGATAATAGAACCATTTTAAGCGAAACAAATTTGGTTCTTAACGTTACGAAGTTTTCTTAAGAATGCTCTTGTATTTTTTCTTTTAAAGTACTAACTACATGTAGAGGAATATTAAGAAATTAGCCAAGATATTGTATAGGTCATGATTATACAACTTGCACAATTTATGTATTAAAAACCTGCTGTCTTACGATGTAATGATAATAAAAGCTTTTTGAAGTTTTACAATTTATATTTTTTATCATCGGTCATGTGACGAGAGAGTCTTTTGTAAGGTTAACGTACGTTTTTTCGTGTTATAACGTCTGCAGACTCCCGAGGAACGGTTGGTGCCCGAGCACGGTAGGGTGTGGGCTCCAACTGTTACGATGGACTATGCAGACTTAATAACACGAAATAAACGTGCGTTGACGCTATTAAAGCATAAAATTTTAAAAAAAGATTCATGATGTATAGATAATACAAAACTCATTAAATCCTTGTGCTTGGACAGTATGTATCCAATTCTACATGTTTTACGTATGCGTTTTATTTTTCCGGGACCAACTTCTTGGGAAATTCAAATGCTCAAAACCGTTCGAAAATTCGAATTTTAATTGATTTAACAAAGCTTATCATTGGATATTTATTAACTCAAGAAAAAAAAAACACATTAAATAACTCTGCCCAATGGGAGACATGACCCTCAGAAATTCTTAAAATGATTTCAGATTGAGGGTAGAAAAAAGATCAGTGACATCAGAATCGTTTTTTTATTCAAGCTCACAAGTTTATAAAAGAATATCAGGCACTAAACATTATTCTCTAAAAGAAATATCAATAGCATTTATCAATATTAACATTAATAAAACAACATTTTCTCATATTCATTTTGTGTTATCTTGTTTTGTAAGTTAATTTGAGGGTTGAACTGAATGACATTTATTTGTTTACATTGACAACTGTCAATTTGTTAGAAAGGGCGACAACCAAGATAAGCGGCGATGTCTATACGCCTTATTTCCGGCAAAGGTACTGTAATGCTGCTCGCCGTCATGCGACTGAGGCCCTCGAATCAATAATTTCAATATAACACTTTGGTAAACAGCCCAAATCGTCATTTTTTTTGTTTGATTACTTGGCCCTGTATGTATTGCGCATAGGTAAAACCGGGCTATAACAAGAGCGCGTGACTATGTTAACGCATGGTTTTGGCCCCGTTATAACATGGGCAAAAGAGAGAAAAATAGCAGATTTTATGCTATAATATATGAAAACATTAAAGACAATGTGTTATGTTTGCATATATACCTTAACCTATAACTTAATATAGAAGTCTTTTCAGGCCTTTTTATCCTCCCCCCCCTCCTTTTTGAGGCATCAAATAGTGAAACACATGCCATATTTAGATTAGACCCCAAACACTTGTTTGTAGTGTAGAAATGGTGTTGAAACAGTGATCACTTTCTCGGCGCCATCTCAAATCGAATAGATACATAAGGGGATGCCAGAGGGGAATGTGCCCCCTTCTGATTTTGGGTTTGACGGGGGTCGACGGACCCCTTCATCTTCAAAAAATCTTGAACTTGTGAGAGGCTAAAATGACCCCAGATCATTCTTAAGGTAACGTTTAACCAACGCCGAAAAGCCTTTGACTCTATCTCAATTCATTGGAAAGTTGCAGCACTTTGAAATCAGTTTTGATAGAAAAATCAACGCAAAATTGTTTATATCAATTTTGAGATGTCCCCTCGTTGCCATGGAAACAGGAAATTTAAGATAGAGTATGCGGTTGCAAAGGCCACGGTCCAGTCAACATTAGTGCCAAGTTTGAACAGTATTGACGACTTTTTGTAGTTTCAGTGCAATTTGAACAGGTGGGTTTTCAATGAAAACAGTCATTATTTACAAAATGCTTATGAAATTCTCGGTTTAAGTTTAAACTTGTATCAGTAATAATTCTGTTGTACGGTTATCGTTTTAGTTTTTTAAAATTATCATAGCTTATGCACACACAGTATGAAAATAAAACATATGATTCGATAACAACACATACAATATACGGGGATAATAACATTTAAAAAAGTTAATTTAAAATATTGTTTAATAATAATGTGGAACACACAAAGACGAATTTATAAATAATTATGTCACGGGCAGCATTTTAATGGTAACTAAGAAATGAATGCTTCGCTGCAACATCGCGGTGGCATCAAAATGAATGCCAACAGGCGGCGCTCATTTAAAGTATGGTTGTTACATATGTCGTCATTCGGCGTTCTTATAACTTAAATAATGCATTGGCATTACCTAAAGCCGTAGGTTCCCATAAGGATGTTCAACAAAATTGGTAAAATCGCACAAGGAACGCAGTTCGAATGGTAAAGTTATCCACGATCATTAAGGTTCTCTGTGATGTCACAACTTTTTTACATTTCTTGTACACGCCTGATAGAGCTACCACTTTCGGAGGTATACGGTAAATCGCTCTATCGCTACTTCCGAGCTAGTGCATGTCGCCAAAATCAAACGTCAGGAGTTTTTATTTTTTTATATATTTTGTAATTTCTACATCAAATATCGAAATTCGGAGAATGCTATCCGATGTAGATTTAATTTAAATTTCATGAAAACGTTTAGTTTTTATAGAAGTGTTTGAAATGTAGTTGTTGCGGCGTTTCCCAGTTAGCAAAGTCAGCGTTGAAATGGACCATTTCATCATAAAACAGTTTATTTTCCCACCAATTTTCAACGTCAAATTAACATACTGTACAACGTGTGCTTAAACGTAACGCAGTCAAAGACTGTTACTGCTTCTCAAAGAAATCACTAAATTTATTATGCCACTTAAACACTTTAAATAAGTCTAATGATCGTGAAATTTTATTTTCTCTGTTCGCCTGCTAGTTTTGATTTAAATGTGTTTGTAGGTATCATTCCCAAATTACGCAAAAACTGTGATCCCGCGATTTTCTAGTTTTTGCATGTCCCTCATTTTCACGTTGTAAACAATATCCGCGTCTGGCGATTATTAACAAAAATTAATGGAAATGACGTCCATAATTTTAAAATATCACTTAATTGACGTCATAGAGGATACATGCGATGTTTGACGGGTTTTCTACAATAATCATTAGTTTTTAGCAAACAAAGTACGATGACTAACTGCCACCGTGTATATACAGAAATGCAGAAATGTGCAAATAACGCAGGAATTGTGCAATTTATTGGCCAAAACGAGCACTGCGATAAGTAAATGGTCCAATATTTTTCATTGTACACCAAATTGGGATAAATGAGTGAGCGCATATGATTGCTGAGACATTATACTTTGTTTATTTTTCAAGATCATTCGTGAAAATGACGACCTGACTAGCGTATTGATGGCGACTTTTAGTTTCGTTGATATCTTTAAATAAAATAACGTAGTACGTATTACTTTATGATTTTTCATATTCGGTGTACCTTAGACATTTTCCGATCTACTCGTGTCATATTACATTTAATTAAGCA